GGTATTTGCTGGGTGCAAGTTGTATTTCTAAGCAAGAGAGAAGAGTGAATCCTAATTTTGAAGGCACAATATCAAACTCCACCAGTTTATCCCCCAACTGCTACCCTCCAATAACAATAGATGTTGGTTCTTAAATGAGACTCTCCATCCACGAATGCCAAACACATGACATCTTTTTTCGCCTTCGGCACATCTAGTCCAGTCACCATGCTACGAATTCTCATCGCGTTAAGGCATGCACCAAACGGTTTCACTGGTGTTACTCTAGCAATCTTCTTAGCCGCAGCCCTCTTCACGAAATCCTTAACAAGAGCTTTATATATATTATTATGCAAAACTATGTAAGGAACTATGGTATTGAGTTTTGTCCCACAAACTCCTTCCTTATCAAAGGAAAGCAAAGAGGACTTGAAGGAAACAATTTTCCCATCAATTTTAATGGATTTAATCGTCAATGAATACTCATACAAAGCGTCACCTTCTGAATGAATGGGAGTGGTACTTCCTGGGCTGATGACTAGTGGCGTTTTAATAAGTTTCTCTTAGATAAATCTTCCCAATGTTTGATCATGTAATAATATGAACCGCCACCAACGAAAATGTCCCCATGATATCCTGATGTCGGTTAGGACTTCTTGGAGGGCAAACAAATAGCAAACTTGCTTGAAATGTTGAATGTTAAAGAAAGTTGTGTGATGACTGAAGTTTGAGTCCTTGCAAGGCCGATAATTCCTTGCACACCAACAGCCAAGCCCTTTATATTATCCACATCTGCACATGCAAAGGGGAAACACTTTGCAATTGCATCTATCTTGGGTCTAAGTCCAGTCGTGGAGGATACTTTTAAGGCATCCTTGTATAGACCTACTGAAAGGAGTCTATTAATAAATGGGTTCTATGCCCAGTGCCCCATGTGTTGTTGGTGCATCCAGGGTGGGAAGTTCCATCGCAGCTAGCCATGCATAAATCACCGTCAATGGCTTTGCATTTTGCGAAATCATAACGAATTGTACGGTTTGTTAGTGAGACGTAGCTAGAGGTATTGTAGTTGATCCACAATAAGGAAGTGCCTAAATCGACAACTGCCAACTTGACCAAAAAGTCATTATGTCCTAGGGTAAATAATGCGCAGTATTGTAAGGTTTTATTTAGCTTGTAATTTTGTTATAGAATATTCATATTATAATTATGTTGATTGGGTTCACATTATAATTTATTGATATAATTAAGTTAATTGATTTTTTACCATAAAATATTCTCTTGTACATGTGTATAAATAAATACCTTGTATATTCAATGAAATTATGAAAAAAAGAGTTTCTTTCTTCATATATCTTTATATTTTTCTTCTCTTTATTTTTTCTATTAAGGTATCAAATGCTTGAGGCTTTTTTTACTATTGCTGTTCATCAACTTTGTGAGTTGCTGCTTTGGTTGTAGGTGGTGCCAATCATCATCATCTTCGCTTTTTTTCTTGGACTTATTTGCAATTGGGTTTTCTTGATTCTGTTTCTTTGTTACGTCGGCAATACGTGTTACTCTCACGGCCAGTGTTGCTTCAGCTTTCTCGTATCCAATTGCCGTTGATTTTGCTCTTGATATCCTATCGCTAATTTTGCTCTTGATTTCTTTCAATTGAACTTTTGACGTTATTGTTGCCCAAATTGATATTACCTCCTTCTTCTCCAACGGCGTCAACTGCACCGATTTGCATATTCAGTATGTAGAGTTTTTCACCAAAAACTCACTTTCTTAGACGCTTCCATACTCTTCTTTCCAAATTCAAACTAGTCTCATCGTCACCACCTTAAGTTTTAGAGGAATGTTACAGAATATTCATATTATAATTATATTAATTGGGTTCACATTATAATTTATTAATATAATTAAATTAATTGATTTTGTATTATGGAATATTTTCTTGTATATGTCTATAAATAAGCACATTGTATATTTAGTGAAATTAAGAAAGAAAAAGTTTCTTTCTTCATATATCTTTATATTTTTCTTCTCTTTATTTTTTCTATCAAATTTGTTCACGGGGAACTGGGGAAGAGAAGGGTTGTAGGGTCAGCAAGTTTGGTTAAATCATCAGCTGTTGCTGCATTGTTTGAGGAATATGAAAGGAAGACGAAGGCAATGGGGAAAAGGTATAGAAGGAATGAGGAAGCCACTAGTTTGAGGACTATGTAAGTTTTTTTTATCTTTTAATATTTTAAAAATATATATAATATATTTAATATTTATTTTCATTAATATTTTATATATTTTTAAAATAATAAAAAATAAAATATTAAAAAGTATTGTGAACAAACCTTTAGTATCAGAACTATCCAAAACTTTACACTTACCACTCTACCAACACTGCATATATCTGCATTCTCTTGTTGTGGCCCATTGGTGGCCACTGCAGCCCAAGGGTTGTCGGTGAATTGCACTCGTGACCAATAATCGAGTCTTGCCAAGAGCAAGGTACTAACCTAACTTCTAATCTCTAACTTCTAACCTCTATCTTTTAACCATTATCTCTGTCAAAAAAAGAAAAAAACACTACATATATCTATACGGTGGGAAGTCCTAGCGAAGTAAGTGTCCACTTCTATTGTAAAGGACTGCCTCACCTTATGGGGTTGGAATCCCCGCCCCTCTACTTGTAATATCCCTTCATCTACTTCCCCATGTTCAAAAACACTGCACATATTAAATATAACCTCAGATCGGGTATTTCATTTTTCTCTTAAAACAATATAAAATTAAAAGAAAAGTATTTGCACGAAATGTTTTTTTATGGTGACATCTTAAAAAATATCATATTTTTATTAACATTTTTAAATATTAATCATTAAATTAAAATTTTTGTTTATATATCATGTATGTTAATTTTTAAATTAATTTAATAAATATAACTAATTCATTAATTACATGAATTTATAGTAATGGTGCGTCTCATATAATCCCACATTATCAATAATTGAAATAATTGTCTCAAAATTACATCTTAAATTTAGTTCAAAGAATCATTACTCATAAAATAACAGTTTATATATAATAATAATAATAATAATAATTTAGTGGGCTTAACAACAGGCCCAAACCATCACAAAATAAATAGACAGACCGTTATTTTATGATGGTTTGGGCCTTTTGTTCTGGGACCAAGTTTACTCATCACACATAAAATAATGGTTTACGTTATTCACTCGGACCTTTTCCTTAAAAAAAAAAAAAAATTTTAAGAGATAACTTTTTTTCATCCTCTAATCCACCACACTCACATATAATTGAATTTGAACTCATGATCTTTTATTTTTAGTAAAAAAAAATTATCACTGAGCTTTGATTTTCATTATTATTACTATTATTATTTTTTATGAATTTGATCCGGGTATATGGAAGTGTAGGATCTTCCTGGTGTTACATTTTATAATCTCACTTGTTCTGGAAATTTACAAGTTACCCAGATGCTATTTTTTGAGCCATGGAATTGCTTTTGTTGAATTACTCATTTTCTAATAAATTTGTCTCATTTCTTCATTTTATTAGCATTTGTCTGACTGATGATGATGATGTTGATCCTAATAATATTGTTCCAAGAAGAAGCACCAATAATTAAAGGAAAGAATGAAGCTTTTTTACCATACACTAGTGCCCCTAAACAAATTGACGATCCAACCAATTCTTTTTCTTTTTCTTTTTCTTTTTAAGCAATCAAAGTGTCTCTAGACCAACTTGGGGAAATCAAGACTAATCCCTCCTTAATCTAGTCGAAGGTAGACCATTCATGCTAAAATTAGGAAATTCATAAAAAATTATCTTTTTATTGACCTCTCTAAAGAATCAAATCTTGGTCAATAAGGTGAGGAACAAACCTTTATCAACTAAGTCACAACTCAATACAATATTCTTAGTCTAGTCAAAAATAGACCATTTATGTCAGAACTAAAGAATTCATAAAAAATTATCTCTTTAATGACCTCCTTAAAGAATTAAATCTTAGTCAATAAGATAAGGAACAAACCTTTATCAACTAAGTCACAACTCATTGCATTGCATTGTTAGCAATTGTAGATTCACCCAATTCTAATTCATTGCATTGTGTAGTAGCAATGGAAGCCAAACCCATTTTTACTATTGTTTC